GTTAGAACTTTCAGTAATATTTCTTATAGTTTAGCATAGAACTAAACCCTTTCTGATTCAATGGGAATTTGAATTCCCATTGAATTTTTAATAGATTGAAAAAAAAAACATAATTGGCTCTAATCAAAAGGCTAAGTATTAATTAATTCCTTAAAAGATTTCTACAAGATTAGGGATTCCATTTTATCTAAAACTCCAACAGATTATTTCTGGTCCCTTAAGACTACCAATTCACTGTTTATATTTTTATTTTTATTTATATATGACAGTGGAATGCATTACAATTCTTATTACACATACAGAGTATAATTTTTCATATCTCTGGTTGTATACAAAGTATATTCACACCAATTCATGTCTTTATACATGTACTTTGGATAATAATGTCCATTACATTCCATCATCATTTCTAACCCCATACTCCTTCTCTTCCCCCCCCCCCCATTCCTCCCACACTCCCTCTCCCTACCCCACTATGAATCAGCCTCCTTATATCAGAGAAAACATTTGGCATTTGTTTTTTGTCAGAATGGCAGCTATTATGAATACAAACAATTATAAGTTTTGGCAAGGATGTGAAGAAAAAGGCACACTCATACATTGCTGGTAGGGCTGCAAATTGGTGCAGCCAATATGGAAAGCAGTATGGAGATTTCTTGGAAAATTGGGAATGGAACCACCATTTGACCCAGCTATCCCTCTCCTAGGTCTACTAATTCGCTTTTAATGTTTTTAGCCATATTCGGTTATTTGTAGAGTTTAAAAAAAAAAACCCTATAGCTGACATTTCACCAAAGAAAGGCAATATTTATGCACATACTCACCCACCCACCCCCACATATATACCTGTATGTATGTATGTATGTATATATATATATATATATGTGTGTGTGTGTGTTTGTGTGTATATATATATATATATATATATATATATACACACACACATATATACATACACATGACAAACCACTCCAATATTTGGTTGCTTAAAACAATAATAGTCTACTTAGTTCACAAATCTATAATTTGCACTGGCTTTTTCAAGGAAGCTTGTCTGCCAGAATAGCTCAACTTCAGCTAGAGGTCCAACATAACTTACTTACATAACTTGTAAAGTAGTTTTGGCTGTCAGTTCTTCTTTTGGTGTTCTCTCTGTGGGACAGCCTCATCTTCCGCACAAAGTGATGGCTGGGTTCCGAGTGAAATATCTCAAGAAATAGTGTTCTAAAAGATAGGAAATGTCAACTGCCACTTCTTAAGTCTTGACCCTAGAAACACATAGCCTTCATTTCTACTGTCATAAAGTGATCATGCAGTCATATTCTAGGAGGAGGGATATAAATTTCAAGTTCTTAGTGGCAGAGAGGGGGGTCAAAGAAATTTGGAGCCTATTTTCAAACTGCCACAGGAAATACGGGAGTTTGAAAAAATTATTCTTAGTTGATAAAGTTTATTTGCTCCAAAAGGGGTCAGTGATATCATTCTTATTTGGATGCTTTTTTTTTTTTTATTACAAATGAGTTCTTTTTATCTTTTTACCATTTAAGATTATGAGAAGTATCTTTTCAGTGTTTGTAAGTTAGACATGGTAGCATATGCTTATAGTTCCAGATACTTGGTAGGTTGAGGGTGGGGGAATGCTTGAGCCTAGGTGTTTGAGGCCAACCTCGACTAGTTGCTGTCTCACAAACAAACAAACAAACAAAAACAGTATTTATATGATCTATATGTACACCTTATAATCCCAGCAACTTGGGAGGCTGAGGCAGGAGAATCACAAGTTTGAGGCAACTTAGACCCTGTCTCAAATAAATATAAAAAGGGTTGGTGGTATAATTCAGTGGTGGAGTACCCCTAGGTTCAATCCCCAGTACTGAAAGAAAAGAAATTCTAAGATGATCCTAATAAGCATTTATTATAGATAGGAAGAAATCAAAAACATGATTCATAAAAGAGAAAATTAATATTGGACTTCTCTGTGAAACATACTGCAAAGAAAATGACAAGACAAGCCCAGGCTGGGAGAAAATATTTGCAAAACATATCTGATAAAAGACTTGTATCTATAATGCATAAAGAACTGTGCAAAATTGTCCAGTCAAAAAGTGGATATGGGTCTGTAGGGTAGAGCTCAATGATAGAGTATGATGTGCTCAGCATGCATGAGGCCCTGGGATCAATCTCTAGCAAATAATAATAATAATAATAATGATGATGATGATGATGGACTAAAGGTCTGAAAAGACAACTTCTCAGAGAGGAGGTACATACACATATAACACATACATATATATACATGAATGACAAATGAGCAGATAAAAAGATTCACCATCATGTCATAAGGAAATTGCATATTAAAGCAATAATGATAGCATTGCACACCTGGTAGGATTGCTAATATCCTAAACATTTTGTATGGTCAAGACTGTACAAAATGCTGGCAAAGATGAAAAGAACAAGTAATCCTATTCATTGCTGGTGGGAATGCAATTTGCAAAATGATACAGCCACATTCAAAGACAGTTTTGCACTTTTTTACAAAGGTAAAACAGTCTTAACAGGATCAGCACTTGTGCTACTAGATATTTACCCAAATGAGCTGAAATTGTATGTCCATACAAGAGCATGCACATGAATGTTTTTAGCATAAATAACCCAATGTCTATCAATGAGTGAATGGATAAAGAAACTGTGGTCTACATATATATTTTTATAAATTGTAACTGCACAGACTTTTTTTTTTTTTTTTGTACTGGGGATTGAACTTAGGCACTTGACCATTAAACCACATCCCCAGCCCTATTTTGTATTTTATTTAGAGACAGGGTCTGGCTGAGTTGCTTAGCGACTAGCCATTGCTGAGGCTGGCTTTGAATTCTCCTGCCTCAGCCTCCCAAGCCACTGGAATTATAGGCGTGCACCACCATGCCTGGCTGCATAGGCTTAAAGAACAAATTATTTTATGAGTTGAGTAATTATTACATAGAATTTCCATAGAGAATTATTAAAATCAACTAGAACCATACTCCATTTCACTAATAGAATCACGGAGATTGTCATTACTGAAAGACACTTTAGAACAACATGATTCTTATTTTTTACAGACTTACAAAGAATGAAACTTAGATACAGAGAAGTTAAGGGATTTGTTCATAGATATCTGGTAAATTATAGGACCAGGGTTAGAAATAAGATCTCTTGATCTCCAATCTCTTTCTTACAGGAAACTTATACAGAAAAGCTAAATATAATAAATGACTTTTATACTTTAATAATGGTAATTGATGATAATAGTCATGACCCTCAGACTCAAAATTATCCTTTGGGCTCAAAATTAAGATTGATATTTCAGAAACTGGAAATGAGAACAGACTAATAAAACAAATAGGTAGGCAGAAATAAAGGCAAACTATGAGGCAAACAAAGTTTTTCTTATTTTCTCAGAAGATTACTCAATAGGATGTAAATTTACTAAATTTAAGTAAAATTACCATTTATTTTCTGATGATTACATGTTAATCATTATTTCTACATGCGTGCTTTCAATTATTATGATATATTGCCCAATAAAAAGTGTGTCTTTTAATTTTGGCTGTTTTTTGCTTTTGACTATTCTAAATAATGCTGTTGTAAACATTTCTGTACAAGTTTCTTTTCAAGTCCCTACTTTCATTTCTTTGGGGTATATACCCAGAAATGGAATGGTTGGTTCTGTGTTTAATATCTTGAGAAACCAGCTTATTGTGTTTCACACTAGCTTTTCGATTTTATATTCTCACAGAGGTTCCAGTTTCTTTACATCTTTGTCAGCACACATATATTTTGTTTTTGCCTAACATTACTGAACTGTGTGAAATGGTATCTCCTAGTATTTTTCTTTGTATTTCCCTGATTCTTAGTAATGTTGAGCATCTTTTCATAAGCTTATTGACTATGTCTTTTTTGTATAAATGTATAAATGTCCTTTTCCTATTTTTAATTGGGTGGTTCTATTTTCTCTTGTTGAGTTTTGTCTTCTTTTGTTTTTCTTGTGGTACTAGAGATTGAACCCAGGGATACTTTACCACTGAACTACATTACCAGCTTTTGTAACTTTTTATTTTGAGACAGGATCTCTCTTAAGTTGCTTGAGGACTCACTAAATTGCTGAGGCTGGCCTTAAACTTATGATCCCCTTCCCCTCAGCTCCTGAGTAGCTGGGATTACAGGTATGCACCAGCATGCCTGGCACTAGCTTACTTTTGAAAGAAAAATGTATATAAGATGGATTAATAGTTTGGATAAATCTAAAGTGTTAAGTTGTCAGAATTAGGGATTAATATGACATTTTGTTAGTATAAATGATATTGTGTACATGAAATAAAAATAAAAACCCTGTTGGTTTTAAGTAATTTCTTTGCAATGAAATAGGAAGATGCTTAATATAAAGGAAATAGACTTTAATCTTGTTTTACTTACAATTTAATATTTCTGTTTTAACCATTCAGACTTTATTCAAATTTTTTGAACAGGATACAGGATTAATTTGTTAACATTAATTAAATAATTACACATCATTTATATTTAAATTACTTATGGTTTAAACTTAAAGAAATTTTTTCTTATGATTGAGATTTTCCCTCCTTTCTGATGCCATCATTTAGGAATCAGCATTCCAGAGTAGTTGATATAGTTTTGCATGTTTTTGCTTGGTCTTGACAAACCAACCACTGTGTTCTCATAGAGAGCAGTACAGTACTTGTCACTGGTGGCCTTTCTGTGACAGAGAGCCTGTAGACTGACATAAAGTGCTGCCTGTTGTGAACTGTAACGTGAGAGTCTGCCAAAAACTTAGCAGACAGAACTAATTGGGGAGAAAAAGGACTTTTGTGTCCTCCTCTCTTTCTTTCTTAATTTTTAATAAGACAGATATTGTTAAAGTAGCTTGTTTATGTAAGATTTGTCTGCTTCTCTTTTCTCATTGCGTGGATCACTTTTTAACTTGAAGTCTTATACTGCAGATTGTTGAGCACATCCACATGGAGGCTGGCACAGGACCAAACTCGAGACACTCAACTTATAACAGTTGATGAAAAATTGGTAAGAATTCTTTACTATATTCTGCTATGGTTTTGCGTTTAGGATTATTTTGAACAATATTCAATATGGTCTTTTAGGTTCTTCTAGGAAAGTGAGTTTGAATTTCTAGATTATAAATAAATCTTTTTTTTTTGTACTTAGGATTGAACTCAGGGGCACTTAACCACTGAGCCACATCCCCAGCCCTTTTTTATTTAGAGACAGGGTCTTACTGGGTTGTTTAGGGCTCTCACTTAGTTGCTGAGGCTAGCTTTGAACTCATGATCCTTCTTCCTCAGCCTCCTGAGCCTCTGGGAATATAGGCGTGCATCACTGTGCACAGTGATTATACATAAATCTTAAGTATTTTCAGAGAAAAAAATCATTTATGTTAAACATGATACAAAAATATTGTCATAAATTAAAATGATGAAAGCTTTCGTGGTGTTTATAAGTAGTGATTGGAATGCTTATTTATAATGAAGTATTTTTTATTTTCTCAGTGTAACACTCTTATTTAAGTTGTAAGATACTTACCAGTACTATCTAAAATTAAATATATTGGGTTTTTCCAGAACTATGCAATGTTATTGTTATACATATTATATATACATTTACATACATAGCATTTCTGTGTGCACAGGAGAGTTAAGTTAGAACATTACAACTAGAAACAAGTGAATAATTCTTTGTTCATCAGTAAATATAATTTTGCCAGCCATCACTGAAGTTTTTAGTATGTGGCCTGTTACTTTAAATGCAAGTTGATATTTATGCTTACATGATGTAATAGCATAAATTTTGTAATGTTCCGAAGACTTCTGATAGAAATGTATAATAGTTTAAGTGTGCTTTGCCTTTTATGTCTGGTTTACTATTATCAAGTATGTGGGTGTATTTCTTAACTACTCTCCTTTTTATGGCATAGTGTTTTATCACTTAACTTTGAGCCTGTTAGCATAATCTAAGTAAGAAGTCACAATCAAATTTGTGTTTGTACCATTAAAGATATAGACAGATAAATAGAAAAACAAGCAGACAGTTTGCAAAACTCTTATGCCTCAGGCTGGCTGGCTGGTTGGTTTTATCTTCAGGTTATCTCTTAGGCTATTTACTGATTTTGCCATCATCTAGACTGATTCAAGTCTCCCAGTTGATCTCCTCACACACTTTAATCTTCCTCTGATTGATTTTCCCCAGGATAGCTATTTATTATTATTTTAAAATGCTATTTTTGTCACCCTCTACTGTGAAATCCTTTGGTGCTTCCTATTGCCCCTAGAATAAACATTAAAATCCTAACATAGTCTTCAAGTTGTTATATGATTTAACTCCTGCCTTCCTCTTAATTTATCTTGTACTAATTATCTTTTTTACAGTATTCTGTGTTCCAGCCATACCAACCTTAGAACTTCCTATTCTTTATCCTGCTTCAGAGCATTCAGAGTTCCTGTTCATGCAACCTACATGTTTTTGACCAGTCCCTAGATCTTTATCCAGTCACCATCTAAAATTTATTCTTTATTAATGAAACGTCATTTGTTTATTTAAGTATAAAAAGATGAGAAAGTTATATATGTGTGAGAGAAGGATTTTCACATTCCATGTGCTCATTATTTAATGAGGATAGTATTTTAATTTTTCCTATGACCATCTCTTTGCTGGGGGGCGGAGAGAGTACTGGGGACTGAACTTAGGGCCACTCAACCACTGAGCCACATCCCCAGCCCTATTTTGTGTTTTATTTAGAGACAGAATTTCACTGACTTGCTTAGCGTCTTGCCATTGCTAAGACTAACTCTGAACTCAAGATCCTCCTGTCTCTGCCTCCTGAGCTGCTGGGAGTTACAGGCATGTGCCACCACTCCTGGCCCTATGACCATCTCTTTTAAGCCCAAAAGGTTGACTTCTTATTCTGGTGTAATGGTTTGAGTAATACTCAGGAGGCATAAGAGTTTTCAGCCTGAGGCATAAGAGTTTTCCAATAATACTTCTTTCTGAGTTCTCTTATTTCAAGTTTAAGGAATGAATGAATTAGCCAATAAACATACTACTCTAAACAAGGTGTTATTTAGAATACCAGAGAGGTATATAGACTAGTGTGGTATTTTTAATTATATATTTTAAAATTAGTCACGTACCTTTGATGAATTTTGTTGCTCTGTATATGTTTTCCTGTTTTATCTTTCTTGAAGTATATGAATCAAAATGTCAGTATGGTATTCCAGATGAAATCAATGGAGGTCTTATTTATAGTTATTGAAGTAATATTTAATACAAACCTGAGTTTTAACCATTCATTTAGTTTTACATCAAAAGTAAAGCATTAGGTAATCCAGTAAGTGACATAATGCTAATAGATTTTTGCATCTTGTTCCAATGCACCCCCTAATGGAGGGCTCAATCAGTAAGTAAGTAACATAATGACAAGACCAGGAGCTCAAGAGGGTCCTCTGGAAATACTGAGTAATTGAGTTGATTATATTTGCATTTTGAACAAAAAAAGGGTTGAAATATAAATATATCCCAACATTAATGATAAAGATATTTCAAATTATAAGGTAAAGCCTATGAGTATTATAAAAGATGTGGAAACATCATTTTAACATAACTATTATATAATATAAGCCAATTTTTTAGATTAGTATAATATTTTTATTAACTGTGCAAAACTGGATAATGGTCATATTTGTACCTGAAATTGGATGGAAGCTAGAATCTTAATTGAAATTATGAGAACTTCCCATTATCATGACCTCTATTAGATACTCATATATAATATTTTTTAAATTAAAAAAAAAGATGAATATGAAGCCTAGGGCTTGTGTGTATGAATTAACTTTAGTTGAGGATTGGTTTTCATGGTTATTTGTAGGTATTTCTCTTTTCTGAAAACAGATCTTAGGAATTTAAGCCTAGAGGATAACTTCAGGTTATCTAGTGATGCTACTGAATCTGATTATTTTTAATTTTAAAGAGACTCAATCTTTTTTTTCAAGAGAAATATTACATGGGAATGTAATAGTAATAAAATAGATAAAAGCTGAACTGCTTAAAGGAGGTAAGATTTGGGGCAGGGCATACGCAAACACTTATAAGGCTCCAGAGTTGAGTTCTGAGAGGATTTCGAGGAGTGAGATTTGGAAAAATAGTTTAATCTTTTGTCCTTTTTAATTAGATTGAACATCTGTTTCTCCAACTTTGGTTTTAAAAATTTCCACTTAACTGACTCATTTCTTTCTGATGCTGCTGTTTTTACTGATCAGCCATAAATATCAGATAGCTTTTCCTATGGATAAAGAATAGTTTTTTCAACCAATGATGATGGAACAATTGTGTATTTATATGAAATTTTTTTTTTAAAAGAACCTTCATTTATACCTGTGTCATAGACAATATTTAACTCTCAGGTTCTAAGTATAAACTTTGTTCCAAATTTCAAACTAATAAAATATATAGGAGAAAATCTTTGTAACTCGGGCGAAACAGATATTTTTTAGTTATGACACCAAAAGTGTGAACCATATTTTTAAAAGACATTGCTAGGAGAATGAAAGGAGAAGTCACCATCTGGGTGAAAACATTTGCAGAAAACATACCTGATTAAAGAATTATATTCAGAAAATATAAACAACACTTATAAAAGAAACCAACCTCAAAAGGCTACATATTGTGTTATTCCATTTATTCCTATATGATGCAAAACTCTAGGAACAGAAAATTGATCCGTGGTTGTCTAGGCTAGATGTGGAACCTGAAGAAACATGAAATTTGGAGAATTATGTAACTATTCTTGGTTGAGGTGGTGGTTTTTTGTTTTTTAAAACTCATATTTGTATTCATTTGTAAAAGAAGAAAAACCATAAAATTTGTACATTGTTTATAAATTACATCAATTTTTATAAAGGGGATGAAGGTTATTTCTCAGTTTGGTGTTAATCTACTTTTTATAACTTCTATCAATTGGTTCACAGTCTGAACTAATAATTTATATGGCTTGCTGTTTTCTATATGACAACCTCTATAAACCGAATTTGAAATCAGCTCATTGGTCTCCTGATTCAGTGGTTCTTAAAGGATAATCTGTAGAGGAGACTAAGAATTTTTTTAAGAGGTCCACCCCGTCAGACCATTTTTATAATTATACAGTATCTTTATTTGCCCTTTTTTTTGTGTCTGCTGACATTTATACTAGTGGTACAAAATAATTGAGAAGAAACTGTTGGCATCTTAGCACAAATCAAGGCAGCACTTCCTTGCAGTCATGTTTTCTTTAAAAACAAAAACAAACAAACAAACAAACAAAAAACCCAGACTCCAGTTTACTTAGTGAAGCGCTGAAAATATTTTCTTTTTCTTTTTCCTTTTTTGGTACTGGGAATTGAACTTATGGATATTTTGCCACTTATCTACATCCCCAAATGTTTTGTTGTTGTTTTATCTTGAGACAGCTCTCTGGAACTTGTGATCCTCCTACCTCAGCCTCCTAAGTCACTGGTATTACATGTTTGTGCCACCACATCTCTGTAAACATCTTCTTTTAATGTCCCATATAGCAAAACAGAAGAACACATAAAACACAGACTACAGTGTTTAAGGAAAAAACTTTGTATGCTTTTATTGCTGTTATAAACTGAATTAGCCACTTTTTTATATATAACCTTTATTTGAAAAAACAACAGATGACAAATTATGATTAGTAGATATTTTATCAGAAATTAACCTCCCACTTTAAAAATGTTGCTTGTAATAAACTTCAGAGTTTCAAGTGAGAATTAGAGTTTTTATAGCGTTTGACTCTGCCAGTGATGTGATTCATTTTGACACCTTTCTAGGACTTAAAGACTGCTCTAATGGGATTGGGATTGGAGAAGATATTAATAAATGTATTTTATATGTATACATATACACACACACAAACACATGTAGTAATGAAACATATTAACATTTAGAAGATAGGCATATTTCCATAGACCATTATTTCCATATGGGGTTATTTTCACGCATAGGTAAAAATTTCT